AGGGGGACGATTGATATGTAGCACAGGGGGGTCCGTGTCCGTGCTCAGCGCAATCTCGTGACTACCCTTGAAGCAAGTTAAACTTGGGCACACCTTCCTTGGCCCACATCTCCAGCAGTTCGAGACGTTTTTTGCAGGGGGTGTTGAAGAAAATGCGGGCCGCGAGCGAGTAGCGTTGGGGCGGCAGTTGCGCGTCGTCGACGGATTTGCTTTTCGAAACAGTGGTCTCCTCGTCGGGAGTCTGCAGGCCAAAGTCACGCCATTTGTTATTCCGCCAGTGACAGGTGTACTCTGTCAGGAGGTTTCGCACTAGGGCTGGATCAAAAGGCGCAGTGCCTGGAGGCAGGGGGGAACGCGGTTGCTTGCGCGGCAGGTTGGGACATCGGACGCTCGGGAACATGAGGACTCCGCTGAAATGAGGCAAAGTGGGAGAGGGGAGGATGGTCGAGAGATAATTTATTGACATAACTACTGATCTAGACAAGCATCCAGAGGCTTATACAGATGGACTGAATAAGCCAAACATTGGCAGCGGAATTGGTTCTTTTCGTGTTTTTGGTGATCAGAACGGGGTAGTCACCTTGCTGGATAGCAGTCGGACCAAACAGGCGGCTGTTTGGGATAGCCTTTACATCGTAACACCAGTTTGTATAGCGCAGTTCTGTTGCCTAGGGCCATAATTACTTGACAAATAAATTACCAGCAACGAGACCGTGGCGCAGTATTTAAGGCATTGTATTTCTAGTAAATGGGCCGGGGGTTTGAGCCTGGGGTGTCGCAGCACCTTTGATATGGCTGGCTGATGACGGCCAATAAGTCAGAAATAGCCTTTCAAGTCTCCCTGGTCTTTATCGGTAATAGATAATTAGCCCCTCGCCCTGTTGCCGCTTACAACTACAGGAGGGCATGTTAAATGTAGGAGAGTTCGATGTTACCGAGGAAGGAAACCAGGGAGTTGAAAAACTGAGCTCCCTAAAACCAGGCATCTTGAACTTGCCACAGCCATTCCAGTGCTCCCTCCTCCGGTGTCCCAACGGCCACGACAAGATTGCTTACCAGCACACGCACAGCCAAAGCACGATTCGGTCCTGCACCTAACCAATCACACGCCCAACAGTCGGGCACACATCCCTGTCGTGCTGAAATGAACACAAACAAGCAAGCGTCAACCACACACCGTTATTCGCACGTGTTCCCGAACAAACGTTTTTTTTTTTTCAGACACACAAGCAAACAGCCAGCTCACGACAAACCACCCTGTACAATTAACTTTGCACGACTTAGTGACATTTCCTATTAGACGGAAGGAACATAGGGTGTGTCTCTGTGAAGTTAAAGTCGATGTCAAATTTCTGATCACCAGAAAGTCAGCACCTAGAAGCAAATATCATAGAAACGTGCGTGTGGATTTCAAAAGTTTCGAAGGCAAATTATCGAATTGTGGGTTACTCTTACAAAATGGCTAAGAATACTGAGTGGATCAATAAAGTGCCCAGCGAAGGTATATTATCAACACGCGCATGCGCATGCTGCAAATGCTAGAAGTTACATCAAAAAGGCATCGGCCTGGCAACGTAACTCGAACAGCACTGGGAATGCCCCTTAACAGGGTTGTTAATCACCGAGGGCAGTACCTTATTGTATCCCAGGAAGGAACTTGGAAGAAGGAATTCACTTCGTTGGAACAGGAGACATATTCACGCAAAGTTTATAAATCCAAAGCGAATTCATTATCAGAAAAAAAGGCGCTTGACAAATGTATATTCTTCCTAAACCGAGTGGGCTTAATTTAAGGCTTGATTGAGGCGGATAGACTACTTAGTGGTGGGAGGCTACTGCGTGTTGTCAGGCAGTGACTGATTAAGGGGCTGCGTAGCGCTATGTATGCCGGTAGGAGGGCCACTCGATGGTCAATTATTGCAAAACGACTACCGTGGACCCATGCCTTTTTCGCGAAAAAGGCCTATAGGGCGGACAACCGTTGTGTGCCAGAAAGATCGGAGGACCAGCTCCTTTACACTAAATGATAAGTGACGTGCAAAAATTTGCCACATGTACTTGTGCCGCGGAAACACGGAACGTCCATATAGTTCTTCTGAGGATTTTCTTTATTAGTGTTACCTGAAAGAGATAAGGGGCCTAGCAAAATGGATCAATTATCTAGATAGTTATTTATTTTTTTATATGATCGATAATATTAAATTATGTAAATTAGTTTCGTTGGAAAATAGTTTTTGACAGCAAGATAAGCAGAGAGCACTCTTCATTTTTAAATAGAAAAATGTCCCGAGAAGAAGTCTCCCACACCTTATGATTTAAAGACGAGCGAGTTGACTTTGAAAATTAGCGCAAACCTTCCCTTTAAATGAGTGCTAAGTAATCCAACCACTGTATGTAAGGAAAATAGGCATTATCAGCATTAAAGCCAAGGTAGCCACGGGGGAATTGAGGGGAAAAATGACGGTAGGATTCGATAAGTCTGCCGGATAAATTACAGATATGTTTACGTTAATGTTCTCAGAAAAGATGGTTAAACTAAAAAGTAACCACATCCTTCTAAAACTCAACTCCCAAACCAATCGCGGTTACTCTCAACACTACTCTTACGTCATTAGTACATACTATCTATAGTGCCTGTAAGAAAGGTACCAGCAGAAGCAACCCAAATAGACGCGCAAATTTCTAAACTATACATCTTCTAAGTTCTGCAAATATTCCCACCTTTAACTTGAAAAGTTTATTCGGCAAACATATGTTTTCAGCGATTCCTCATGAGGCCAGTACATTTAAGTAGTAACCATTTATCCGCATATGTATACGTAGGTAGGGCAACTGTGAGATCGCGAACGAGGGGGAGGCCGACGAAGGCGCACGCGAGGACGCGA